CCCTGGCAGAGCTTGAGCCCATGTCCTCTTGTCCTATTGTTGGTTGCCTGGGAGAAGAGACCAACCCCCACCTGGCTATAACCTCCCTTCAGGTAGTTGAAGAGAGTGATGAGGTCACCTCTAAGCCTTCTCTTCTCCAGACTAAACAACCCCAGCTCCCTCAGCCTCTCAGCCTATCTTTTGGCGTGTGTGTGCATAAGTCTGTTTTTAAACATTGCAACATACAGGCAGTGCCTCCCAAAACAGGGAATTATACAATTTGTCCTGTGACTGCAGTAGCTCAAATGATTAGTAGTAATTGAAGAGACACAGAGAATGGTTAATGCTTTGATCCCACTGAGACCTGTTTGCTATTCAAACTATATTTTCTGCCTTTCTTGTTACAGGAAAACCCAGACTTCCTTTGAAATCAAAGCTATGTATACAAGTTGGCAATCAAATTGTATTTAAATAGTTCATACGCACTTACTGAATTAAAAATAAATTGTCAGACTCCACATTCAAAGCTGAATTGAACTTGTTCTTTAATGAGAAATTACATTTCCTCCTTATTTCAATTCAGTAATTGAATTTAAATTTTGAATTTGCAGGTACATATTTAATGAACAATTAACTACAGAACTACTACTCATATGACAGTGTAGAACATTTGGATAAATTCAGTTGGACCTTTTGCATTGAAAGAATAGTTCACAACACACGTTCTTCACCACATACTTGTTTGTAGCCATAAATATAAGGTTTTGCCCTTTGGATCTAATTAGTCAGTTTATTCAGTCAGAGGGTTACAAATCTGTGATTTACCAGGAACCCAGGGAAGCTGGCTACATCAGTCATGGAAAACAAAGGAGAAAAAAACCCCTAGTTTGTTCTTTTATCAAAATATTCATAGAATGGCTTTGGTTGGAATGGACCTTCAAGATCATCTAATTCCAAACCCGTGTTGTGAGCAGAGACACCAGGTTGCTCAGAGCCTCATCCAATCTGGGCTTGAACACTTCCAGGGATGAGGAATCTACAGCTTCTCTAGTCACCTGTTCCAGTATCTCACCATGGTCACAGTAAAGATTTTTTTCCTAATATCTAACCTAAACCTACTCTCTCTCAGTTTGAAACCATTTCCCCTTGTCCTCTTATCATAAGCTTTGGTAAAAAGTCTCTCTCCATCTTCCTTGTATGTTTTTACCTGAACCTGAGTGTGTGTTAGCCCGTGGAACTTTGTGTTTTGTGGGCTTCCCCCATCCCCAACAGATCAAGACTGCAACTGTCGCTTTGAGCAATGGACACCTAAATTGCAACAATCAAGTCTCATCATCGGATCCAAGGGTGGTGACTATGAGCCCTTCTCTCTCCTTTTTTTTTTCTTTCTCTTCGTCTCCTAACTTCTTGAAGTTTGCTAAGATTACTTTGGATGTTGTTTTAAAATTTGCCAAGTTCCTTATTCTACCTTAATGTTCTTAAGTTTGCAAGTTAAATTTTGTTACTGAACTCCCTGAGAATTTTGTTGTTTCTCCTGCGCACCACCCAGTCAAACAACCTTCCTCTAAACCCACCGAGTGGATTGGGGAATAACATTGACTAAGTTGCTTTTGATGAAGTTCAGGACACAACTGACTTTCTGGGCTGCAAGTGTACATTGTTGGCTCACGCCCAGCCTCTTATCCACCAGCACCCCCAAGTCCTTCTTGGCAGGGCTGCTATCCATCTGTTCATCCCTCAGCCTAGGGATTGCCCTGACTCAGGTGAAAGACCCTGTACTTAGTCTTGTTTAATCCACATGAGATTCCCACAAGCCCACTTCTTGGGTTTGTCCAAATTCCTCTGGATAGTATCCTGTCCTTCAGTGTCAACCACACTGCTCAGCTTGGTGTCATCTGCAAATTTTGCTAAAGGAAACACTCAATCCCTTTGTCTATGTCATCAATGGAGATATTAAGTAACACTATTGCAGAAGGCCACTAGGCTGGTTAGGCAGGACTTGGCCTCGGTGAAGCTATGTCGGCTGTCTCAAATCAGCTCCTGGTTCTCCATGTACCTTAGTATAGCTCCTAGAAGGATCTGATGACAGGTTGGTAGTTCCCAGCATCCTCCTTTTTAAAGATGGGTTAAATGTCCCCCTTTTTCCAGCCACCTGGGACTTGACCAGACTGCCATGACTTTTCAAATATTGTGGAGAGTGGATTGGCAACTACATTAGCAAATTCCCTTGGGACTGTGGGATGCATTTCATTGGGTGCCACACACTTATGTACATTCAGGTTCCTTAGGCGGTCATGAACCTGATCTTTACTTACAGTGGGAGAAATTTTGCTCTCCCAGTCCCTATCCTGGTGCCCATCCACTTGAGATGTGCGGGAAGAGAGGTTACCATTGAAGACTGAGGCAAAAAGTTGTTGAGTAGCTCAGCCCTCCCCTCAACCATTGTTACCAGTTTTCCAGCATTGTTTATCAGGGAAGTACACCTGCTTTGGTCTTCTTTTTCTGGTCAACATACCTGTAGAAGCCCCTGCTATTCTTTGCATCCCTTGTAAAGTTCAGTTCCAGCTTTGACTTGCTGTTCCTCACCCCATACTTAGACTACCCAATTTCATGCTCTTCCAAGGTTATCTGTCCTTGTTTCCATTGCCTGTGCATTTGCTTCTTTCCCCTTAGCTGAACTTTTATTTTTTATGAATATTATATATAGGGATACAAAGTCTGGGATAAGAAATAAAAAGGCTATCTGTATCCACCAAACCACCAAGGTATCCCTATTCCT